GATGACTTTTTAAAATCTTCAAGGGCACTCACCCCACCTTCCCAAGTGACATTTCCAAGTGCTGTACAACCCTCCTGGTGAAGAAAATGTGGATGATGTAGACACAGTGGTGGACATTCAAATGAAATAGACATAAACCAGAAGAATGCCAAAAGCTACAAATTAAAGCTACGATTAAAGTTACAATTTTTTGAAAAGAGTCTTTGACAAACATTTCCCTGCCCTTCAGTTTTTCAGGTTTCCAAGGAGCCTGAAGAAGGAAAGAAGCTGCAGAAAATGAGGGAAGCATTGTGTTTTGAAGGGAGGGAGAAGAATGGTAAATGTAGCTTACGTAAATAAACACAAATCACCACCATTGACTGAGAAACTATGAAATCATTGGGGAAATGTGTGTTTCTAACTGTGGTAGTATTTGAGATGTGGATATGTGTACACTAGCATGCAGAACAACTTGTCCCTCGCCTCTGAAAAGTTCAGCTGATTCATGGCTACCCTTAATCTTCTTTTCTGTCAAGTCAGTAAGTAAAGTCCCTCTGTTCCTTGCAGGTCTACATAATGCTCTCTCTGATTTCCAGAAACAAAATGTGCTCTCTGTCCAGCAAAGTGGCAAAACAGTGGAGTGGACAACTGCTTCTACATTTCAAAGCAGAAGAAAACATGGAAGCAAAGCCAGGAGTTCTGTTCCTCAAGAAACTCCACTCTTCTTGTGCTAAAAGACAAAACAAAGATGGTACAGTCTTATCCTCATGCATTTCTTTATGACACACTTTAAACTTCCAGCAATCTCACAGGCAGACAATAGTTCGGTCATTTACCGTGTATGTATATAATTTTCTTGGGGCCAAGTGGCTTTCCTGCAAGTCACAAGATATTCATGACTTGCAACACTTTCTAAATTGTGTGCTGTGAGAAATAGTGAAATAATGTATTATGAGAAATAGCTGACTTGCAACACTTTCTAAATTGTGAAATTATGTATTATGAGAAATAGTATAAACCATTGTATAAAATACCTTAATTAGCTAACACTTAGGTTTTCACAGAGAAAACAAATTGATGATTTTCAGCATGGTGGAGAGACCCTGAACACGGAATTCATGCTTTCATTATCTCTTTCCACACGTTTTATTACTGATGGGTCCCAGCATCAAACCCACATCTACGTGAAACCCAGGGTGGCCGATTCACCATGGCACTGTCATTTACACACTGCAGTGCAAAGTGACCATAAAAGGTTGTTTTCTGACCCTGTGTTATACCCTCACAGAGTAGTGTCAATGATGGCACAAAGGCTAGATAGCAGAGGATTATATAATGATGACTGAAAAAGGTTTAGGGAATTAATAATTTTATGAAGTCTTACTAGTTTAGTGGGCTTTTTCTGACTAACACAAAATCTGGAATTTGATGTTGGGTCCATATTTTCACTTTCTGTCTACACATACCTGGGAAACTAGTTTTCAACAGCTATTAAAATTACACAAAGCCTAAATATTCTTATATTTTTGTTTTGTTTTGTTTTGTTTGTTTGTTTGTTGTTTGGTTTGGTTTGGTTTTGGTTTTGCTACATAAAATGTTTAAAAGGAAACAAGCTTCCCTGGAAATCTTTCTCCTTTTATCCGATTTAGTTAGTTTCAGATAGGGGTTCTCAACTCTTTTATTTTAAGGCACATAGGCTGGCCTTTTGGATTTTTTCTATTATTATTATTATTATTAAAATCAGATGTGTAGAAACAAAACAGAAAGTGGTTATTGAGTTTGATATTACTAAGTTTGGCAGTATCCTGAGGTCAGAATTGTGGTTTACACTGTTGGGAGACACCTCAACACCGCACCTTCATCACAAAATTCAAATGACAGTTTTGGTATGCTATATAAATCCTTGGATAGTTTGATTCCAGATATCTGGGTGCTTGCTTTTTCTTCCACATTTGATATATGCAGCTGCAGCCAAACTGAGGCCAGACCAGTTTAGGCCAGCTGTGGATTTCAGATTTTGGATGAGTCCCTAAACATGCTACTAAGCAGCAGTGGAGTATCTGGAAGATCTGAACAGGCTAAGATGCTGAGGGATCTCTTAGGTAGCACTTAGTAGGTAGCAGTGTTTTTACAGATCCAGGATACATTTGACTTGTGGCAATTAAATAAACAATAGCATTTGAATGTTCTTATAACTAGAGCAGTCAACATTGCTTTGTGGAAATCAAGCACAGACAATTGTTACTCTCCTATTGAGTAAGAGCTATCTCCTTTGGTTGCAGAACCTTCACAGCTGGAAGATGCAGGAACTTAGGTCATATATTTGAAATACTGTTGTGATGATTTTCCCATGCCTACAGGTTTTTCTGCCGCAGGATTCACAGTTTTACTGGGTTGGATTATCATACATATCTGAAAGGAGCAGTTGGTACTGGGAAGATGGAACAGCTTTTTCAAAAGAGGCAACAAAATGGTAAATCTTCATAACTTAGGACCAGCATGGTTCTATCTAATGTGTCACAGTAAATTATATGAAACTTGTGCTTCTTCTTACCTTCCCATGTTTGTCACATGTGCGATGGCAGAGGAGCATGCAGATCATAGTATCTGCTATGGAGGTCCAAAATCATATCCTGTAAATAACAATGGGTGGCAAAGTATAGCTCAATCACATGCACCAGACTCAAAAAGACCTCCTAATACAAATAAAACAGATCCAAGAGGGGAATAACTCTACATTCCTGTGGCAAATCAGAATGATTACAAATGGTCCAGATACAGATCACATGGTGTCACAGAGACATCAATAACCTATATCTTTTCATTTCCTAGGGTTGTGTTTTCTGACAGCATCTTCTGTGCCTCCTATTATGAACGTGTTATTTATGCCAGACACCCCTGTTCAACAAAGCAATTCTGGATCTGTGAGAAAGAGGCTGTTCATTTCACATGAAGAACAATTGCAAGAAGGGATGTGGGTTCTGACATTATGAGATACCAACTTTAGGAACCGGAAGTTTTAGATTTATTATTATTTCTGTTTGTTTATCATGCAGTTTTCTCAGAATGGTGATTCAAATCGACAGGTGATTAGAGACTAAATCTTCCTCTTTGCCTGCATTTTCCCTCCCAGGCTCACAAATGAGAGAGAGAAGAAAACCTACAGAGCAAAAATCACAGGCCTAGGAAACAACTTGAAAGATTTTGATACAGTCAAGCAATAATTCTTACTTGACTTTCTGGGTTTACAACCACACATTCTCACAGTTCTCTATATTTCTTGAGCTTTAGTCACCATTTTACACTACATCTGCCACTCAGGAACCAGTCCAGCTACATTCCTGATGACTAACAACCATCCACTCATAATCCTTTTCTAGAGCAGTTTGCCTAGGCAAAGATTTCTTTCCTAAATCTGTTCTTTCAGCTGTTTCCCTGTCTGAGGTATAGGGATACAGAAAGAACACAAGGCTGTATTAATCCATAAACTTCTTTCCACATACGCATTAATATTTGTAGAAAAAAAAAAAAAGACATTTCTTAGAAGACTGCAGGGAATCCATGGAAGCAATCTCTGTGAAAAGTAGAATTAAATGCCATGTATGGATTAAAACATTACCTGAGCCATTTCATTGCTACCATAATGTTAATTGCTATGCAAATAGCAGGGAGGATAATAATTACGTGCTCCATACAGAGCTACACATAATCAGTAATCAAACAGATGCAGGATCCATTGATACAAATCTTACTTGAACTCTTGTATTATATCCACACTGTTTGGGACCTCTGGAGCCCACGGCACACTCTCTAAGTCATGTGTTATTAAAGCACTCGTCATACTTGAAAGAAAATGATGCCTCCACTTTTCTGGGTGTAGTTCTATTGCATGAGTTCTTTTAAGTTTTCTATGTCAGCATCTGTTTTGTATTACATATGCATATATTCCTTGTCAATATATACCTTGTATCTATGTGTATATGCCTTAGTGTTTGGAGACTTTCTTTTAAAATAACGAAAAAATAATAATGTATCTTTAATATTCAATATTTCCTTGGAAAATATTCTCAAAGACTGAAGCAGTTTCTTGGTAAAAAATGAACCTCTTTTCCTAATGTGCTGAAAGATGTGTGTGAACTGAATAAATTCACTATACTCAGTAGATCCAAGTCCTGATTTATGGGCAAAAGCACCAGTTGAACTACCTAGAATTCCTTACTGTTGCAGTAGGAAGTACGAGGTACAATACAAGGAAGATACAATGTTTCATCTGTTTCAACCCATTCAACTTGAAGAAAATAATTCACAGCAAGCATCTAAGCTGCCACATTTTACCTCTTTTTCTTCCCATAAATTAACTCGATTTTATTTCTAGCAATTTGCTATACACTTGTGTTTGGTGGATGCATTGTGAAAAATAAATGTTATCCTCTGGGTTTGCTGCTGACTGTCTGGTGTGACTTTGTAGGGAGCATTCACTATTACTGATGGAAGGTTAGGTGAGTGGTGATAACTTGCAGTGTACATTTATTTCATTTCTATGGATGGATGTATAAACAATTTCTGTATCTTCATATAGTAAATTCCATTTGGATTCAGCCCAAATCTTGGCTCCAGCAGCTTGGAAAGGGCTTTTCCCATGTTTACAGTGGTGCATCTCAGAGGGGAGAATCTATAGTACCTAGTATTTTAAATTCAAGCAAATGCATTATTTCACCCTGCCTTCTGTCTCAGAGGCTGTCAGTTTTCCTGACCACACATGTATGGAGCCCAAGACACAGGCTTCTCAGGGAGGCCCACTATCTTTGGGGATAGGGGAAGTCCACAATCTTTCCATGGCCCTAGGAAGTTCAGAAAAGCGGTTCATTTAAAGCACATTTTGTATGGAAAATAAAGCCTACTATTCTATATTAAGTGTGAGATATATATATAAAGCCCTGTGTAGAGTCTGAGACATTATAAATCTTGAAATGTGTGTAACTAAAGAGAAGTTGTGTCTTCAACATCAATTCAAACAGGACATGGACAGTGAAGAAGACAGGGGTGAAGTGAATGAAGGGATGCGTTGAGGGAACAAGTCCTGCAGTGCCATTCAGAAGTGGAAGGAGCAAAACAGCTTCACATTTGTCTTTCAACAATGAGATAACCAAGGCAGTGAAAAGGGATGACCCTAAATGTCAGCTGCTGGATAGGAAAAAGCAGAGTTCATGGATGTCAGAAACTCAGGTTCAGAAGTAAAAAAGTTGAACCAAACACCCTGGCTGCACAGTGCCTCTTCACATCATCCACCAAGCCTCTCTCTGCTCCAGGCCCTGCACTGAATGCATCCTCTCTCTTTCCAAGTGGCCTCCATCATCCTTGTTATGAGCACATTCGCTGTCCTGGAGTGTATTCAGGCTTGCCAGTAGATGCCAGTGCTCACAAGCTGAAACACACTGTCACCAAGATGCTAAATAGTATGGTGCCAGTCTGTGTTCACAGACACTGCCTGTAGAAAGCAGCAAAATAAAATCCCCTTCCCTTTGAGAGTCAGCCAACTTACTAAATAATATGATGCTCATCTGTCCCTAAATCTTCCTTCTCTGCTTCTTTCTATTTTAAATCAGAATCTTAAAACATTTAACCTTTTTAACATCTTTCACTAATATATTCATCTTTCACTGATATATTTTCAAATCAGTAAAAGGGGACTAAAAGACTACAAGGAGGTGTCCAGGAGTACAGCTACAATAACAGACATGGGACTATGTCTTTATCAGCAAGTGCTCCTTTGGAGCCCACTATCTTGTCCCCATATTCATACTTATACCCTGCCAGGGCTGATAAGAGCATTACTAGAGGCAAATGACAAATAACAGATTCCCTGTAGTGAGGGAAATCCCAGTTAGACACAAGTGGAACATTCTTCACAGCCAAACACAGGAACAGGTATCCAGAGAGGTTGGAAGATGTCCATCCTTGGAGACTGCGTGAACTTGAGTGGACAAGTCCTTGAGCAAGTTCATCAGAGATCGGAGTTAACCCAGCTTTGAAGGAGGCTGAACCACATGATTTCCAGGGGTTCCTTTTAAACAATGTCACTTAAAACTTAAGACACTTATGGTTCTGTCATGATTCTTTTCTTGGGGGTGCCTGGACTCCATGACAGAAGTCTGGGCTCTGGCTCATGTATCTCTAATGACAGATTTTCAGTTACACAATCTCACTATCACCCTACAGACTCGCATCATTCTAAGCCTGCATGCTCTTTCCCACAGTATGTTCTGTCCTTAACAGAATCTTTCAACTGGTATAATTTTGTCCATGGAGCATGGTCCTTCACTCTGTCTGTGTCTTCACTTGACCAGTTTTTATATTTGTTTTGTGTTAAATAAAACTCTACTCATGTGAAACATCTGAGGCAGCAGGTGAGGTGCCAACCTTTCAGAACCTTCTCTCATGTCGTCGTGACTTCAATACATCCTATGCTCTCCAGAGGAAAACGGAGGTAGGGAACTTCCAGAGGAAAAAGGGAAGGGTGCACAGCACATGCAGAAGGGCTAGCAAGCTGTGAGCCAAGCTTTGCAGGAAGAAAAAGGGGCTCCTTCTGTAGCTGGGTGGTGCAGAGAATCTGAGGTACTAAAGAAAGTAGTATCCAGTCTGTTTCTCAATTTCTAAACTTTTGTCTCCAGGTTACAAGAAAGAAGAACAGATGATGCTATTTCAGGTGATCTATTGTTCCCTTGGGCATCCTCCCCTAAAACTCACAGTAAGTCTTTCCTTCATATTCATACATCACAAGGCCATGGAGAGATTCGATTTGGAAGGGACCTCTAAAGTCCATCTGGTCCAAACTCCTGCTCAGCAGGTCTAATAGAGAGATCAGTCTGGTCCCAAGTTCAGGAAATCTCCAAGGATGGAGATGACACACCCTCCCTGGACACCTCTTCCAATATTTGACCACCCTACCTGTAACTTATGACTACTGCGTCTTGTCCTTTCACTGTATACTTCTGACAGTCTGACACGGTCTTCTTCATAACCTCTTCATGAAGTGAAAGACCAAAATTGGATCCTCCTTAGTTTTCTTGAGGCTGAACAAATTCAGTTGTCAGAGTCTGACCCTGTAAATCAAGTGCTTCAGCTCCTAAGCATCTTGGTGGCTCTCCCCTTGACCAGTTTTAGTATTTATGTGTTTTATGGGATTTTTTTTTTTTTGGGGGGGAGCCCAAAGCTGCACATAGTATTCAGCTGCATACTCAGAAGTGCTGGAGAGAAAAGAAACATCACACCCTTCACCCTGCTAGCTACACTCTTGCTAGGTCTGTCCAGTATGTGGTTAGCCTTTGCCACAAGGGCTCACTTCTCTTATTTGTTAAATCCTGTCTGAGACCTTTTTCCTAAATTCTCATTTGCCACTTCTCCCTCTAAGAAGATGACATAGGACTCTGGGCAGCACCTCTGCCTCCTCGGTGTGATTAAATAGTTTCAGCAGCTATTTGCAGCTGTGAACTTTTTTCTCAATTGAATAGACACCTAGATTTTTAGCCCTTAACACTGAACAATGAAGAAGGCGCAGAACTGAATTTAGTCTGCCTCTGAGATGAATCAAAGGTTCTGTTTTAAAGTGTGCAAAGTTCAAAGGAAATGAAAGTCATGGGAAGGTTAAGTGGAAAATGGGGGAACTACCAGGCCATACATTTATTGGGACTTATGTAATCCCTACTTGTCCCAGACCCGGGCTGAGATGTCATGGGTGGGAAGAGAGGAGTTCTTCCCCTGAGGGAGGAAATGGAGGCGTTACATGTAATACCTGAATATGAATTTCTTGCCTTAGGACATTTGAAGTGTGACTCATTCTCCTATACCTTCCCTGTTTCTGCTTTTCTTTTTGCTTCTCTTTCACAAATCATTCAGTCTGTCTTATAAGAGGATCGTTATTGAACCACAAATGAGTCCTCAGTGCATGTGAATACAGTGGAGGAGGGTGGATACTCTAATTTAAATCACCTGCCACAGCATCCAGCCAGACACCACATGTCCCTAAACATCAACCAAGGTATGACTGACACTTGCTCTTTGAACATTCTGGTAGACAATGACAATAGGAACAGTATCTCTTGTCCAGCTCAGTAAATCAGAAAAATATGCACTTACAGGTTTAATGTTTATTTCTATGCCCTATCTGTATTGTTTTGCCTAGCAAAAAACAGCATGAAAAAATGCAGAGTGAAACTACTTCCATTACTTGCCCTAAATTTCTGTATGAAAAGACTTCAGGATCAAACTCAATAATTCAGGAATGAGCTTTAATTTGGTTAGTTTTATTTATTGTTTGTTTATTATTACAGGAAATGCCTATAGAGACAGGACAATCTGACTTTAACAGGAAAAAACTTTCACATTTTGCCCTCTGGACCTCAGTTTTTCAGAAAATGCTTAAGATGCATAGCCTTTAAAGCCAGAAGGGATGAGGCAGCACTGGCCTGTATGCATAGGTCATGTAATTCCTTTCTTCAAGTCCCATAGCTCTGGCTGGGCTAAACCATATACTTAAAGAGGGCATCCACATTTGAGTTAAGTATTTCTTCATCTGAAACAACCATCATACTGCATTGTCATGACTATTTGGTGATGGTATCTCTCAGAAACTTCTGTATCCAGGGAAACAGCAATGGATATTTTGGACTCCAAAGTTTTCCTGAACTGGGCTTCATCTTGGAGCTGGCATGCAGCCACTGTGTGCCCTAAGAGCAGGAAGGATTTGTGCAAAGTGTAAGATGGTATGTAAACACTTCCTTACTCTGTTCTGACAGAGCAGAGCAATACAGCACTGTCAAAGGAGAGCAGGAGCATCACCTAATTGTAAGCCAAAGGATCACTGCAATGTGTCATAGTTTCATCATTTGTGAAAGGCAAGGAATCCCCAACCTGTTCTGTTTAAACTGTGTACAGCAATTAATTTGAAACAGACCTCTTCAACAGAGGCACCACATCTCAACTTGTGTTTGGGTTGATCCTTAAAATATAATACAGTCTGGAATGGCAATACTTTAAAGAGTCACCAGATGGCTCTTCACGGAGAAGTGGAGGGTTGTGAGTGCTGCTGAACAGGGTGCCTGCCCTCAAGGTAAACTGTTGGTTTCTCCCAGGGAAGGTTTCTCTTCCCTTTGCTGTATGGTGGCCAGTTATCTTCACTTTGTCTGTACTGTGCCTGGCCCTCACCATAGGAACGACAGTCCTAGGTAGGTGCTGAAATATTCTGTCTTCCTTTATTCATATTAACCCCTTGGGAATAACTGCACTGAAGAAAGGTGGCAGACTGACTACAAGAAGGACAGACATAGCTCATTGTCCCCACATATACTGTACTTTCCTCTCCTCCTAATTGCCTGTGATGAAAACACTGCAGCTTGGTGCACATAAGGCTTTGAGGGAAGCAAATTTTTGTCTGGACCTGTGCCCACAGCAGGGATGTAGAAGTCAAGATGATACATTTTAGAAAGCGTGGGAGGAATGGATCCTGTCCTCGTCCATCATTTATTTGCTAATTCAAACTCAATCATAAAATTATAAGGTTGACTTTCATAAATCAGTTTGTTGTTTCCCTTCTCCTTTTCTCCTGTTGTTCAAGTCTCTCTACTGGAAAAGCAGTTCTTGTCTCATGCCTTTGATAAACCTTTATTGTTTGTAGACTGTCTTAAATTAGTTCATACTAGTATGTTAAAAATTGATTAATTCTATCACTCAGATTTGTGAGGAAATCTCTTTTTTTTTTGCCTGTTTCACACAGTCATCCCAGTCTACCTCAGATGTGCAAGAGAACTGGAGACTCTCATACGTATATTAGCTTTTATCATGTGTTACATGAGTGTACCTATACTCTCTATCAGAAAGACTGGATATAGTCATTCTGAGCTGTTGCTACCAAAAGCTGGTATCTAAATATTGTTGAGGAAGATAAATAAAGCACACCCCTCCCCACTTTCTTCAGAGAAGTTTTACCAGCCCTTAAAAATAAAAGGTTGTTTCAACCTGAAATATGTTTACAATTTTCATTTTTTTCAAAAGCTTATAACATTTCCTTTAAGAGCGACACCATTAGTTCAAGATAATCCTTCTTAAGCATATTATTTTGATTATTTTAGTGGTTTATTAGGTTAACAAGTGGCCGGCAATGGTACTGTGATTAAACTGCATTTACAATTTGGAAATCTCTTTATCTATCATTTCCTCATCTGCTAATCCCACAATATGTGACACAAGCATCAGAGTTGCATGTGAGCACACTATTGCAAAAAGTAAATTTGCAGTTGATGATGAAGCACATATTATGCAGTAGCATAGACACAACCTTCTTGTCTCACTAAAGAAGATCTTTATAAACTCCAGGTCTCAGTGATTCTAAAGCATCTGTGGAACATAATGAAAACTTACAAGGACTAAAAGAGAAATTTTGCTTGATGAGTGATCCAACCAGTAAGAATGATCATAAGTACAACTACTGTTCACACAGCCTATGTGTTAGGATCATAGAATCACAGAATGGTTTGCGTTGGAAGGGACCTCAAAGATCATCTAGTTCCAACCCCCCTGCCATGGGTAGGGACACCAGGTTGCTCCAAGCCTCATCCAGCCTGGCCTTGGACACTTCCAGGGATGGGGCATCCACAGCTTCTCTGGGCAACCCGGCCCAGTGCCTCCCCACCATCTCAGGGAAGAATTTCTTCCTGATATCCAATCCAGACCTCCCCGCTTTCAGTTTAAACCTATTACCCCTTGTCCTGTCACACCCTGCCCTTACAGAAAGACCCACCCCAGCTTTCTGGCCACTTCAGGTACAGAAGGCTGCTATAATGTCTTCCTGCAGCCTTCTCTTCTCCAGGCTGAACAAGCCCAACTTTCTCAGCCTGTCCACATTGCAAAGGGGCTCCAGCCCTCTGAGCATCTTTGTGGCCTCCTCAGGACTCACTCCAACAGGTCCATGTCCTTCTGATGTTGAGGACTCTAGAACTGACACAAAATTCCAGGTGGCGTCTCATGACAGCAGAGCAGATGGGGAGAATCCCCTCCCTTGACCTGCTGGCCACGCTTCCTTTGACGCAGCCCAGGATATAGTTGGCTTTCTGGGCTACAAATGCACACTGTTGGCTCATGTCCAGCTTCTCATCAACCAACACTCCTCAGGGCTGCTCTCAATACATTCTCTGTCCAGCCTGTCCTTGTGCTTGGGATTGCCCCGACCCATGTGCAGGACCTTGCACTTGGCCTACAGGCCTGCCTCCCTGGCCTGTCCAGGTCCCTCTGGATGACATCCCTTCCCTCCAGTGTGTTGACTGCACCACACAGCTTGCTGTCATTGGCAAACTTGCTGAGGCTTTATATCAGATTAAGCAATGATGTTATGTACTATATTAGATTAAAAAATGTATTTGAATAATGTATTTTAAAATAAACAAGTAAAGTGAGTGTAGGTGTGACCAATAGAGGGCCATATACGTTTCAGTTCTGCATAACTTTGACTTTCAGGTCTGTGGGTGTAGACTCCTTTACCTTTAGCTGTTTTTAAGGGACTGACGGTTTCTTTCTCTTCTAGGGCCCGCATGTTCACTCTGCCCTGCAAACTGGAAATGGTTCGGAGGCAACACCTGTTTCTACTTTTCAGTAAAAGAGGCCACATCGTAGGAAAGCGGAGACTTTTGTTTCTCACAGAACGCCACCCTTCTTATGCTGAAAAGGAAAAGCAAGTTGGTATGGTTCCTATGTTACTGGTATTTCTTTGCATTGGTATCAACTATTCAAAAGTCCTCACCTGTCAACAAGTACCTCTTGATGTTGCATAGAAATAGAGGTCCTGTCCCCCAGGTCTGAGGCAATGCAGACTGCAGGGCATTTAAGCACAAACATGTAACGATGAGGCAGCTAGCAACACAGGATAGCAACATCCAAAGAGTGGACATAAATGTCATGGATCTCGTGAAAGTCATAAGCAGTGAGTCTTTCATTCAGAAAATCTCTTAGATATTTTTTTTTATCACTATGAACAACATAACATCAATAATACAGAACAATTGGAGGCTCTGGCTGTGCTAATAAAACCTTACGGCAACAACAGACAGCAAGTAATTGCTATGCTAGTGGTGGTGATCAACATTTTTTTTCACTCTGTTTTTTTCAGTGTGCAACAAAACCTAAAGATTTGAATATGAGCATTGTATGACTTGAAATGTCTTAGTTCATTCAATTAAATACATGATTGCATGCTGCCTTTTGAACTTTGTCGGTTTTAAATGCTTTCTGGAGCTAAATGACAGCA